TCTTGATCAAATCTGTTCTTTTGAAATATAAAAAACAAAACAGTTTCAAATTATAAACTTTAACAAAGTTGTAGCTATTCTAGATCAATACTATGTATTATTTGATATTTTTCAGATGTTTCAGGAACTTCATGAGTAAACAAGTCTAAAAATAGACATTTAAAGTCGAGTTGCAAATGGGGCGGGTATTCTCTAGCTTTGACCATAGGGCTTTTCTGGTAACAATACATTGCAAACTGCACATGAATCTATATAATATATAATAGTAGTGTCATATAACTAGTGATCAAGCCATATTGGTTGAATTGCTTCATATCAATTGCAATGTTGTCAAAGGCTTGGTGAATCCATATTACACCTAAGGGTGGTGTAATTAGGAAGTTCATGAAGGAAATTGGGCTTGGGGATATTTTGGTAAATGCAAACATTGTGAAATGAAGAACAACCAAGAAGATGATTTTGGAAAGGATTACAAAATGGAAAGTTAATTGTCTTTGGTTTGTGAAGCAATGCTACTGTATCTTTAAAATGGGTTGAATTTCACTTATGATAGTTGCAACTTATAGACAATCTATTAAATACTGATCATGAAAAAGTTGACACTCTCCTTATGGCCCACGGTTACTACATTGCCGCAGACAAGACAAAGGAATTCAATGTTAAGCGAATTTGTATTCAGTCTGATGATACAGAATGTTGCTTGCAAAAAAGGATGAGAGTTAAAAAGAGCTCTAAAAGTTTCTTATGTCCTTCAAGTTAGCATACTATAAATTACTATGAATCTCAAAGTGCAATACCTTTTTGAAGGTATATCAAAGATGGATGTCTTGTACCAGTACTCACAAACAAACAAACCCTCGTAACCTGTCCATGTGGCAATGAAAAAAACTATAAGTTATTAAATGATTTGAAGTGCAATACAGGATATATTCTGTTCGAGAAATTTTGTATTGGAACAAGATGAAGTCGAGTGCCAATACAGAATATCGAGACGGAATATATCCTGTATTGCACTTCAAATCATTCAATAACGTTTTTATCGTGTGATCCTCTGTATTGCTACTGAGATTTTCCCCTCCGTACCAATATTTTCTGTATTGCGACAGAGATGATCAACGGGGACAACCTCAGTAGTAATACAGATTGGTACAGCACAAGAACTGACCAATCAGAGGGCTTCATTTTATAGATCATACGATAAAAGTGCACATTGTTGGACAATATTTTAGGATGAGTTTCTCAGAACTATAAAATTATTTAGAGATCTTACATATCTGAATATATAGCTTGTGGTGTAATGGGCAACTTAGACATTTAAAATGACTTAAATGCAGCTCTAACATAGAACCAGGGAGATTTGAAAAATCAGGCTGTTGCTGGATTAAGTTTGAGAGTTATGAACAATCATGTTAACAACATTGCAGCCATTTTTGTAATTTCTTGACTATGAATGTATTTGAATTCGTGACTATTGAAATGTGGTATTATGACATTGCAGTGCTAAATGTCATAATTTGTACTTGGTTAACATCATGCTGAATAAATTTAACAATTTCCCAAACATTTTGATCATTTAAAGGAAAGAAATATTAATAAAGTAACACTTTAGATCTTTTCATAATTAGAAAAATTGGTACCTGCCCCACCAGCCCCTACCCCCATGTTGTTATAGCAACCATATTAAGACTTACTATAAATGTTTGATGCTGAAACTTCAGGATATAATAGATAAAACTTCAATTGTTATATACACAAAATTTCAGCTGAATTGAAGAATATTAGAGAAAATTAGAGCATATAGTGCATTACTTCTGGGACAACCCTCGTATATGATCTAAAATATATCAACTAATCAGCATTCAACTAAAAATATAAACAACTATTGCTGAAAGTGAAAAATTGGTCATATTTCTTCATTCTATTTTTGTTGGTTTTCTTAAATGGTGGAGGGGAGATCTTAGACCTCTAATAAAAATATTAGTTGTCTTACATACATTTTCTATAACTTAAATCAAAGAAGACAGATTCAATAAAAAACATATATCAATCTATCATCAAAGAATTATAATTGTGGAAAATTATATGATACTACTAAAAGCAGAATGCTAAAAATGCCAAATTTTGTCCGTAAACTTTAGACACATGTAATCAAATGAAGGTTACATTAAATAATATCAGTTATCACATGTTTCAGCAGGTGATACAGGAAATATTCCACATAAGGTAATACTGTATCATCCATGAAAGCGAAGCTTGAGTGGTGATACATTGTTACCCGAGTTGAATATTTCCTGTATCACATAAACTGAAATGTGTGATGATGATTTTATCACATGTCTAGGAATTTTGAAGCATTTTGATTTGGTCAGTTATGATTGTGTTCAGTACCCTGTACTCCTGGTAACTATTATAATTTTTGATTTCGCTTTGAATCAATATGACGTCATACCGGTGTATTTGTACTTGTTTGTGTATTAGTATGACGTCATATTGTTTTCCTTAGCTAGAAGTGATATAATCAGTGACGTCACATCGTTGGTATTGACTCCGTAGTGATACAGCCCACCGTATCACATGAAAATCAGTCATGTGTCGTGTGATACCGAATATACATCATCATAATTGACCAATCAAAATGCTTAGACACTCCTAATCATGTGATAATACATAGTATTGATAGAGAATAGCTACAACTTTGTTAAAGTTTATGATTTGAAATTACTTTTTCATTTACATTATAAATGGGACAGGGGAGATATGGAAGCTCTAATATGAACATTGGTTGTCCAATATACATTTTTTATATCCTAAATGGACAAGAACAGATCTGACCAAGAATGCACCAACCAGTCAGCATAAAACTCAAGATATAGGGACCTATACGTTATTGATGAAAGAGAAAATGAAAAAAATTGCCAAGTTTGTCCTTAAATGTCTCATTTCTAGGCACTAGAATACTAATTAAGGTCCTGAAACACCAGGAAAACATTAAATAATATATAATATTGACATAGAATAGCTACAGCTTTGTAAAAGTTCATAATTTCAAGTTATTTCCTTTTTTTTATTTTCCAGTTATTTTTCCTAATAAATGGGGTAGGGGAGATTTGAAAGCTCTACTATGAACATGGGTCATCCACTATACATTTTTTATATCTCAAATGAAAGAAGACATCTACAAGAACAAATTTGACTAAAGATGCACCAACCAGTCAGCATAATACTCAAGATATAAGGACCTATATGTTATTGCTGAAAGCGAAAATAGTAAAAAATGCCACGTTTTGTCCTTAAATGTCTCATTTCTAGGCACTAGTTTACCAATAAAGGTTCTTAAATATCTTAAAAACATTAAATACCACATACTATTGATAAAGAATAGCAACAGCTTTGTTAAAGTTTATAATTTCAAGTAATTTTATATGTTCATAATTTTCTTTAATTTTTCATGATAAATGGGATAGGGGAGATCTGAAAGCTCTAATTCGACCATCGGTGGCCCAATGTACATTTTCTATACCTTAAATGGAAGGAGACATGTACAAGAACAGATTTGATCATAATTGCAACAACCAGTATGTCTTAAACTTAAAATATGAGGAACTATATGTTACTGCTGAAAGCTAAAATGATAAAAAAAATGCCAAATTCTGTCCTTAAATGTCTCATTGCTAGGCACTAGTATACCAATAAGGGTTCTGAAATATCTGAAAAACATTAAATAACACATAATATTGATATAGAATAGCTACAACATTGTTAAAGTTGATAAATTCAAGTTATTTTACTTTTTCATATTTTTCGGTAATCTTTCATAATAAATGGGGTAGGGGAGATCTGAAAGCTCTAATATGACCATTGGTGGTCCAATATACATTTTTTGTATCTTAAATGAAATGAGACATGTACAAGAACAGATTTAATCAAAAATGCAATAACCAATCAGCATAAAACTCAAGATATAAGGAACTATATGTTACTGCCTAAAACGAAAATGATGAAAAATGCCAAATTTTGTCCTTAATTATCTTATTTCTAGACACTAGTACACTTTACTCGAGTCTCTAGCCAATACTTGGCTAGAGGGGATTCATCTGGAATACTGTGAACTCTATTTGAAAAAAGCTGCCGGGGTGTCATAAATTTATTGAATATTTTAAAAATCGCCAGATAAATGAATCATTAATCAAACCGGACCCAGCTCGGCTCCTTGATGAGATATGACATGATTTCATCAGGATTTCGTCTAAAATTAAAACAAAATGGCTCCAAGAAAAATGGCGATGTTCGAAAACTGGACGAAATGTCGTTACGTCTGACATTAGTAACTGGCTGTAAATTCTAAGTTAGCGATCCAGAAGATGTGAACTAATACACTGATCACTTTGTGTGTGTTTTGGAATTTTTGGTGAGGTAATAAGACTAAAACTCGCAATTCAAATTGTGATGTGGAAAAATGGCGGACATATGATTTCAAATTTTATGATTACGACATGACCAGTTGTTCATGCAGGAATATATCTGTACTGGAAGGCCACGATACAGTGGCCTTGGAAGAAGGTAAAGTACACTAATGAAGGTCCTTAAACATCTGAAAAACATTACATAATACATAGTGTTAATATTAGATAGCTAGAAATTTGTTTGAGTTGAACATTTTGACTTTTTGTAGTTTCCATTTTTAGCCAATTTTTTTCTTAAAAATTCAAGGTATGTCTTCTTCGGACCAGTATTTAGATACGTTCGCAAGAGTTATATACTTCGCAGGCGAAATCCTTTATGCAAGACACCCAAATAGAATAAAAAATACACAGAAATTCCATCCAGCTCATAAAGTCATTTTTTGCACTATTCTCACACCTTCCACCCCGAGTATTAGTGTTGTACTCAAATGAATCGAATGTGAATAAGCAGTAAGCCCCATGGAAGCAGTGGACAAAGAAACAAAGGATACTCTTCCAAAAAAGGTCCAAGCCTAGACTTGTAAATGAACAACAAACCTGATGATATGCTTGGGGTCACTTCTTCAAATGGGGATTTCATCTGGTGAAGTTTAGTTGGTGGTGTTGATGGCGATACTGTCATCGGAAGGCATCGTCTTCTCTTTGGCGAGATGGCAGACTGGGGGCTATGTAAAGGGTCGAATTGAAGACTGCGTTTCAATGTTGCTCCGCAGGCCATTTTTGTTTTTTCTTCGGTTTCTCTTCAAATTATACGGATGGCTGTAGCCTCCAATAATAGGTCTAGAAGACCACTTTTCGACACAAATTTCTTTCCAGCTATAGAAAAATGCCTGGCGAATGCCTTGGACTAATGAAATAGCCCACTCGACCTCCAGGTATGACGATGTCAAAAGATTTTCGAGAGGTATAAGAGGTATTAAAAATATTTTGAAACGATTGTTGCCTCGTTCTGGATATAATCAACCTCGTTCTGAAAACAATCTAGGGGGTTCACTATCACGAAATTTTAATAGCGTACTAAACATAATAACACGTTAATAGATTTACTACACTATAACACTACAATTTTGAATATTTCATGTTCCGATGACTAATCAGTTTTCATTGTCAAGCATATAAAGGGAAGTTTATAAGAAATAGATATTTTAATCTAATTTCGTGATATATAAAGTGCGTTCATATTTTGAACTCCACTTTGAAAACCAAAAACTTGAAAGCAACTAAAATACATTTCACGGGTAAATGAACAGTATATTAAAGGTAAGGTTATTAGAAATTTGACACGTACAATTCCGAACACAGTGGCTTTTATCTTTGGCTCAAAGTATTTTGAAGATTATCGACATTGATTAGACTACTCAATATTATCGCCCTCGGCCACTGACTGTGTGACTCTGTCACCTAAGGTGTAGCCTAGATACAAAATCATTTTGATTTACTCACTTCGAGAGCCATGTTAGATTTTGTAACTTATGGCTCTCCAACGGAGAAATGGACAGCTGAATAATAGTGACCCTTGAAACACGAATTAGTTGATCCACGGCTTACTTTTGTTCTCTAACTATGTCCATGGGCTTTCAACTAGAGCTTGTAATAACATGAGACCTTCATAATGAGCAATGACATGCTTCCCTTTTATGGGGGGGGGTGTATAGAGATATTGTATATCGTATAAGAGGCTGAAAATTTATTGTATATTGTATAAGAGGGGGCAAAATTTATCGTATATGGTATAAGAGGTGTAAAAAATATGGTATATGGTATTTTAGAAAATATGGTATATGGTATCTAGAATTAAAGAAGGCTAATTATGAAGAAAAAGTTCCCCCATTGTGCCAACTCTCTTACTGTAACCGTGTTGGAAAAACATGGAAAAGTAGTCTCTATAATTGTTTTCAAATTCCAGGTCAATCGATACTGTTAGTTTAGAGAAAAGCCCTCTCAAACTAAGAGTTTTGTGCCCTCTTCATTCAAATTTTCACAGGAGGTGTTAAATACAGTCTCAAATAAGAATCACGCCTGGTGATCAGAAGAAATGAACGGAGGGGGGAGTAGATCTAGCTGATTTTCGGTAATGGCATTTGCACGTTGGCGACGCTGCGCCTTTTTTAATAGACCTTTTATCTTAGAACTCCATCAGTTCAAAAAAAATCCAAGAAGACCGAACATATTTCCCTGTGCACTGCACCTATTCATGTAGCCATTCAATTGTAAACTTTTGCTTTAAAAAATAAATCTTCAACATTTGTTGAATTTACCGAAAATCAGCTACTCCCCCCTTCGTTCATTTCATCAGATCACCGGGCGTGAGACTGCCAAATGTCATTGACCATCTTAACTTTGATGAAAAATATGGTCACTATGGCTACTCGTGTTTCGGGGTATGTGGGATAAATCATGAAAATATTTGAGTATAAAGTGTTCATACAGCGCATGTTTTAATACAAGCATCACAATGCTAATATAGCATAATATAGCAAAAGGTGTTTATTTGGTCTTCAAACCGTCATGTGTTGGATTTCGGCTATTTATTGGGGATTTGAACAGGTGCATATGTTAGGCCAATGCATTAACTCCAGATCAAGCACTCATAGAAGTAATAAAATAATTTGAACTTTGAGACAGGGAAGGTTTTTCTGAAATGTTGTCCTTATTTTCAGCCCTTTCCACATATGTTTTTTCAATGTTTGATGCACCAATATGTTGCACTTTGAGACACAGTTAACCTCTAAAATATGATTTATTTGGGATAAAGTGGAAAACAGTACATGTATTTCCCATGTTATTTTCCCATTGGGAAAACTCATGTGATCCATTGTTTTCAGCTTAATTTTGGTCATCCAAAATTGATATCTTTAAAACCCCTGCATGAATCATATTTCATTTAAAGATCTTAACCGTGTCTCAAAACGCAACAGAGTGATCGATGCAACAAACATTGAAAAACAGGTGTGGAAAGGGCTGGAAATCAGGACAACATTACAGAAAAACATGTTGATGGGGTGTTTGCACCTTCCCTGTCTTAAAGTCCAAATTATTTTATAATCTCTATGACTGCTTGTCCTGGAGTTAATGCATTGGCCTAACATATGCACCTGTTCAAATCCTCAGAAAATAGCCAAAATCCAATATATGACTGAAATCTGTTGCGATACCGTCCGTGGTCCTTTAAAAGAAAGTTATTTCTAGTTACATAGAGTAGTTTCCATTCTCATCAATACATCTTTGCCTTGAAATCATTTGTGAAACATGTGGTTTGACCTTCATGGAAATTTGCTTAATTTTGACACACCTTTGTTTAACTTATACTGTCTTTGAGGCTGCCTTATCTGAAACCCCGAAGTGTCTCATGTTTCAAATGTTTAAACAATCAAGTCTCATCTTGCCTTTATTTCAAACTCTAGTTTCCAGACTCGAGTCCAATCAAAAATGAATTATCTACATGGAAGTTTGTGAAGTCCTTTATTTCTGAAACTGTTTTAAATACTTAATATTTTCCAGGTAACTGCTTTACAAAATTATTGTGCATTGTGAATCTTCATTATCTATCTGATAAATATTTTCCTCAGCAAACTTTATTTTCATAGAACACATGATGAATCTTTTATTCAACATTCTCAATTTTGCATCAATTATGTTTCAAGAATTTTCCCTGGCTCACTATGAAGGACATTTAAATAAGTCATGGGAAAGTAGGTCATAAGAAAGAGGAGCACTGGGTTCCACCCATTCTAATGATGCAGGTTTTGTGCTAATTTTGAATATCTTTATGGTAGTTTTACAGGTAATGGGCTAATGGCTTTAGCAAATTGCAGCAATGTCATGGTTAGTTTTTTTGGTCAAAGTAGGTTGCTAAATCACTAAAGAGAAGTCATGAATCTTATATCATAAATGTGTTTTAAATCAACTTGTTTACCTGAAAATAAAATGTGGTCACAGCTTTTCTGATGCTGATGTACCCGAATGGTGTCTAATTCATAATGAAATAAATGAAATCATTGTGGTATGTATGTGGAGTCTAGTTGCCTTATAATAATACATTTACTTTAGTACATGAATTCTCTCCTAATATAATATTATTTCCTTATAAATATCCAAACTTTAATCAAAAGCAATTTCAAAATTATCGTATATTGTATTTCACCTAAAATATTGTATATGGTATAAGAGCTGTGAAAAATATTGTATATGGTGAAAAAATATTGTATATGGTATAAGAGAGCTGAAAAATATTGTATATGCATTTCCAAGACCCTCTATACACCCCCCCCTTTTATGGCAATATTTCAAAAAGTATTAGATAAATGTATATGTTTTAGTATTATTTTGAATAAAAATCAATTTTTTAATATGATTTAAGCATAAAATATATTCAATATCATATAAAAGTAAACAAAAGAGACCAATAAGAATAAGAGTTATCAAGATGTTCTCTTGAGTATTGCATTGTGGGTAATTATTCAAGAACACATTCCAATAAAAACATAATTTGTGGGAGAATGTTCACTTTCTGTATTGTCATAATTATGATGAATTCCAATTTTTATTAAATTATCAAGATGTATGGAGAAGATCATGTTTTTATTTTTGAGTTATTTCTTTTAATCATCAATAAAAAGTACAAAATAAGATTTTCTTGGAATGTGTACATTCTCCAATTTTGAAAACCCATGGCAATGTTTATGTATGAAATATGGGAAGTTGCCTACCCTTCTAGTTGAAAGCCCATGCTATGTCATACATCATTATCATCCTTCCATGCAAGTATTGGAGCACTAAAGTACTTCCTTTTCGATCAAGACTTGTAATTGTTTGTCGAGTGAATGTTTTTTCTGCCAAATTCCAATATGGCGTTTTCTGCTCTGACATTATCGTAAATCTCCGGAGGTTGTGCGAACCTAACTCATGCTCAAAATTCATTTCGTTCGTTGCGTATCTCGCTCCTAGCAAACCGCCATATTGGAAATGGGTAGAAAAAACACTCACTTGATGAACAATTTACAAGTCTTGATCGTAAAATTAAGTATTTCAGCGCTCCAATACTTGCACGGATTGATGATACTGATGTAAGACATAGTTAGAGACCAAAAGTAAGCTGCGGATCTCATTATTCATGTTTTAAAGGTCACTATTATTCAGCTGTCCAAGTGGGCCGTGGGAAAGCTATTATATCAAAATCCACATAGCTTTCGCAGGAAGTAAATTTTGATCAGTTTTGATACTCAACTTTTTGGCAATTAAAAGTCCCTGCCTGCATTTAGTAGTTATATATTGTGCTGTGCATGCTCTTTCCACAAGAATTTTGTTTTGTGAAGTTCAATCAATTAAAAATATTTATTTGACTATTGGAATGCGTGCGGATGTGAAACTAATGTATATTTCTACTTTGGTTCAGCCTTCTTAGTAGTTTGAAACAACAACTTTTCGATTTAGCGCCAGAATTACTTGACACACGGTACTCAAAACTGCCAAGGTCAGGTGACTTCAAAAAGTGTGCAAAAATAACAACATTTCAGAGGTTTACAGTCTTATCTTAATAAAGCGTGTTGTTTCTGAATATATCACAAGCTTTATAGTCAAAATAACAAAAGGGATGTTATTTGTGCCAAATACAAGATAAAAAGAGATTCTAAAATTGGTTTTAGTACAACTTAAAACATTTTCACCCATTTTTGCAATTTGAATCCATAATAACTTCACCAATTGTAACATATCATGAATCTTTTGGGAGACTGGATTTGATTGAGATTATAAGGAATAGATTGGTAGGTCAATTGTACATGTTGCTTGTAACTTTGTCACCCCTATAGATCTGATTCTGCCTTTAAACATGAAATACTTTATCATATTGCTTAGATAAAAACTTTTAAAACCTACATCACAGTTTTTGCTTCAAACAGCTTAAGTGTATATTCACCCCTATATTTTGTCACTGTACGTTGTCAATGGTTAGGCGTGAATACAAGAAAAGATATTTCACTTTTTGTGATTTTATAACATGGGGTCTATTCAGTGTTCCACAATAAGTTACTTTGACTTTCTGGGTTTGAGTTATTTGTTTTCTTAATTTGAACTTAGGTATAAGACATGTTGCAGATTATCATTTGGCACAAAGTTAGACAATGTAGCATGGCTCTTAGAAATGCTCTTGGTTTGGAATTTGATTTTTAAATAAAGCCGTAATTCATGCATTTAGACCATCGCTTTTGTAACATTGATGTAAGTTGTCAAAGTAACATACATGTAACAAAAGCGAGGGGCTAAATATATGAATTGCAAAAATTATAATCTGCAATTATACTTATAAGTAGGTTTAAATCGAGAAAACATAAAACTCGTAGGAAGTTCATCCATTTTGTTACACTGTCGTTTCGTCAAAGTAACTAGTAGTGGAACTCGGATTGGGAATCAATCTGAAAATTTTCAAAGTTGATAAATATTTTTAAAACCATTTTTCTAGATGTTCTTTCAGACTTTTACATGTAGATTTCAAATATGACATCACATTGACTGAATTTTGAATATTTAATGATGTAAATCAAGATTATTTCTACTCGCATCTAGTCTTTTAAAGCCGGTGCCAAATTAACTCAATCTACAGTAATACTCTCTCCAAAGCAACAGCATATTCATTCAATATTGGTGATCAAGATAACCTATCAAGACAAATTATGTTTTCCTTTTGAAAGTTGAAAGGTTTCGGTGTGATTTTATACAAAATGGGAAACATCAGCTACCTCTAAACAAAGGATGCATCTGAAAAGTGACGATACCTCCACCGCTTGTTTAGAAGTAGCACATATAAGATTAATGTTTTCAATTTTTAAAAAATGTACACAGAAAGTTAATGTCTTTCAAAATGCAAAAATGATGTATAGCGATTGGGCCTGTCGATCACCAATACTGAATTAAGGCTGTAAACTGTGTAATAAAGCAGCAATTTCAAATTCTTTGCTATGGAGCAAGGATGAATGCTTAGTTCATCATTAAGGAATGAAGAATACAATGATAGACAAAATTTCCCTTTTATTAGGTATCCTCTACAAAAGGATGACTACCGTATAACTGAGTACCCAACATGCCTTAGTTTATGAAATATCACAAATTCAAATTCAAAAATGACTGTTAATATCCGCACCTTGCGCACGCCGCACATGATATCCACACCACTTGTTTTCGTATATAGCACAGTCTGTATAGGGTGTGCAACAAGTGATCAGATGACAACATTCAATGTCATGTCCAGGATACAGAAGAATTTATTTATTATTTTTAGATTTACATTTAGTATACCAAAATCATAAACATACATTTCAGATTTTTTGGTATTATATGAAGTCTCCCAGCTTCTGGCCATAAATCCTTCCAACAATCTTCTGGCACGTTCATGATATACATTTAAAAAAATGATTTGATTGGATCATAACTGAAGTAAAGATGCCACGCAAACGTAAAACAGTTCCTAAAAAGATTGATGATGAAAAGCGACAAAAGCTGACATGGAATATGTCTGATGTGCCAACAGCATCAAAAGAAAGTTTAATTAATGATGTGTGTAGCACTTCAACTGCGGCTGTCACATGTAAACCTTCTTCATCAATAGCAAATGCAGAACCTCATACTGAACAGACAACTCCAAATAGAACTATTTATCACCAACTCAATATAGAGAAAGAGTTGTGCAGTTTTGGTATTGGAATTACACATAGTGGAAGTATAATAAAAAAAGACTTTCCATATTGTAAACTAGGGGAGATCCTCGCTGGTTTACCTGATTTGGAAGATGAAACAAAACTTGAGATTGATACATTATTTTCTACTTCTGATGCCACTACACTCTTTGTTAGTCAAGTCCCTGGTTGCCATCTGCTAGTGTTTGAAAGTAAACTTAGTGCACCAGTGAAAAGCAGACCCAAAGATGTCAAACTTGCTGTGTCAAATTATTTCAAAGTAGAATGCAGCCTACCATTCAGCTGTTTTGAAGCACTGAGATGTTCCAGTTGGTTTCTCATCCAGTTCCGATATGTTAACACTGTGACAAAGCAATTAGAGCTGGATGTGTACCTAACAAAACAGGCCATCTGCAGACTGCATTATCCGTGTGAATTCCTCCGGCTGAAGAAAACATTCCAAGCTCTGAAGGTCCTCATCGACTTTTACTACGGTGTTACATCTAGTATGTATGAATCATGCAAATGACCAGGCCCATAGCCAGCTTTTGCCAGGGGGGGGGGGGGGTTAAAAAATTCCAAGGGGGGTTCAGATTTGACAATTTGGGCCCAAAATCACATTGTGAAAATTGCATGATTTTGAAAAAAATTTGGCTACGGGCCTGATGATTATGTATTTTAATAATTTATGGCATAACAAGACTCCTGAGCAGAAGTACAATGTAGTTTTAAATTTGAAAATATGACAAGACACCTATCTCTAGTCTCTACTCATTGCTATATATATACATCCTATAGCTCTTATGTCAGTGATACAATATGGTTGTTTGTATCTAGAATGTCAATGCCATTTGTCCATCCTGTTTGAGAGAAAAACTAACTGCTGTATAAATCTTGGTGAATATTTCTGATTAATATTATATACAAGTGATACAGGTAAACCCAACTTGCCATCTATACTACTCGTTAGAATGATATTGATATGTACATTTATCTTTTAACACAAAAAGGTCCTGATTATAAAGTGAGAAGGGACAATGCAGAAGAAGACATGGAAGAAAAGGAGGCCATCACTGATGTACTGGGTGCTGTAAAAAACCTACATTCTTCAGAATATGGCTCAAACTGTTCTTCATTCGTTCAACATGAGGCTTTAAAGCCCATGTTAAGAGCCTACCAGCAAGATGCCGTGTGCTGGATGATCCAAAGGGAAAAATTGCAAGAAAAAGTAAAGGAAGGTAAACGTCAGAAACTTACTTAAAGAATCAGTGTTAATATTAGTAGTGAGATAAATACGCACCAACTTGAAAATTGAAAAATCAAAGGATGCTACAGTCGTGAGGTACTTTAATTGAATTTTGAATTATCATTTAATATTATATAATATATCTTTCCTTTATGGCAGGTTTAACCTTCTGATAGTTCCAATTACCATAGTGAAAATTTATTTGTAATTTTTTTGTCTTAACCAGGGTTAAGTGCAAATGTTGCCAATATAATATGTTATAGAATTTCATTCTGTGCATTCTAGATGATTTACACATACTATTCGAGGAACTGAAAATGTGCAATGGAGAGCTACTCTACTACAATAAGTATCTTGGAATGTGAGTACAGAGTACTGAGATAACCCCTATCAGCTGTCTGGATCTAGCAGAATAAATGGAGATGAATAAGACAAGATTAAAAGAGAGAATCAGATATAGCCAGCAGGCAAACAAAAAATTGTCTCAATTTTAGAATATTTCTGGCTCATGTCATTCCTTGTCATGTCTATTTTCTAAAAATCCCCAAAGTACACAGTTTGTTTCAAGAAAAGTAAAGATTTTTTACAATAATGTATTATTTTTCTATCAGAATGGTTACCATTCTTATTATTTGGGAGAATTTAAATATTTTTCACTCAATTTTACACTTTGAATCTATAATAACTTCATCAATTTACAACATATTGTGAATCTTTTGGGAGATATTGTATTTGAGATTTTAAGTAATAGATTGGTAGGTTATTTGTACATGTTGCTTGTAATTTTGTCACTCCTATAGATCTGATTTTGCCTTTAAACAAGATCCATTTAAATTCTTGTGAGAGAATAAGAACTTTTTTTGTTGAATCTTACATGTCTTACATGATGCCATTTTGTTCCAAATAGGTCCGAATAGCTATTTTATTTCATTCTCAAGAATTGGCAGAAAAGAACAAAACACAAGTAGACTAAAGAACAAAAATTGTTTATTATAAACAATTATATAAAATCTATATAAATAATTTAAAGTGTTGTCAATTGGTGACCATTGCATAAAGGATGTGTTTTTTTACAGAATGTTTCAATACTGTAAAACGGGTATTGTTAGCGAGGGGTAATTGTTAGCGATCGCTATTGTTTCGCTAAAAATTAAATTCGTTAAAATAAACCAGGGTTAAAATAAACCGGGCGCTAAAATTTGCAAATTCCCCGGAAACTACATGAATACTAGTATTTAAAATTAATCTGATTAGTTAGATGAGATTACAGTACATGTACTTTGGACCAATACCATGTGCGTTAGAAGTCTTACATTTTGATAATTCCTCTGTCATGTCCGTTATTCATTCTTCTGCCATAAATGATAAAATTTCTAATGCATTTCGCTAATTTGATTTTTTACAGTAAATGGTTTAAGGGAAAAACAATGATGAATTTAGTTCACCATATCGCTACCAATCCTCACTTGAATCTTGCAATATCATTCAACGATCTTCCTATGTCACCACCACAATTGTTGACAAACTTTTGTGGCACTGGTTGTTTGGTGGTTGGTATTTGGCATTTATTGTCTGTAACAAATGGCATGTACATGTAGTAACATTTTGCATGTTAATGCCTTGTTAAATGAGCTACAGTGGTTGGAAGAAATTTTGAAAGAACAGATTCACTTAGACTAACAGGAAGAAAAATGACAAGTAAATTAAAATGTATTTTATTTGACAGACTTGTTGAAGAAAAACCTTTGGCAACAGTGTCTCCACCTGGTGGAATTCTAGCAGATGAAATGGGGCTTGGTAAAACTGTTGAGGTGTTGGCAGTTATTTTGCTTCACCCTCGCAGTGACTTAGTGACGCTGCAACCTCTCATTGAACAAAGACTCGTCTATAAGGTACGTCTATAAGGTACGTCTATAAGGGGGCGCTTATTACAGAGAATACGGTAAGTGGAATTATCTGAGGGAGAAATAGCATTTTGAGAAGCTTTCAGTTAAAACCATTGATACTATTGTGACACAATATGCTAGACCTATCCATTTTAACAGCTTAATTTTATTTGAACCAAGATTTGACTTTTAAACTGACCACATGTATCAGATCGAAAAATATTGGTTTGTCTATCAAGTATAGTTATAATTCATCAATTAGCTTTTGTTTTGAGATTAATATTATTGATAATCATGAAGCACAATCTGTTAAATCAGGTTTGCTTTGTGATTCTTGACATGTCTGTTTCTTGACTTAGTTTTTCATATATCTGTGCTGGCAATGGCTTGACTAAATAGTGTTTCATATATCTGTACTGTCAGAGTCTTGACTTAATAGTGTTTCATATATATGTACTGTCAGAGGCTTGGCTTAATAGTGTTTCATATATCTGTACTGTCAGAGGCTTGACTTAATAGTGTTTCATATATCTGTAGTACTGTCAGAGGCTTGACTTAATAGTGTTTCATATATCTGTACTGTTAGGGGCTTGACTTAATAGTGTTTCATATATCTGTAGTACTGTCAGAGGCTTGACTTAATAGTGTTTCATATATCTGTATTGTCAGAGGCTCGACCTAATAGTGTTTCATGTATCTGTACTGTCAGAGGCTTGACTTAATAGTGTTTCATATATCTGTACTGTCAGAGGCTTGACTTAATAGTGTTTCATATATCTGTACTGTCAGAGGCTTGACTTAATAGTGTTTCATATATCTGTACTGTCAGAGTCTTGACTTAATAGTGTTTCATATATCTGTACTGTTAGAGGCTTGACTTAATAGTGTTTCATATATCTGTACTGTCAGAGGCTTGACTTTATAGTGTTTCATATAGCTGTACTGTCAGAGGCTTGACTTTATAGTGTTTCATATATCTTTTTTGTCAGAGGCTTGACCTAATAGTGTTTCATGTATCTGTACTGTCAGAGGCTTGACTTAATAGTGTTTCATATATCTGTACTGTTAGAGGCTTGACTTAATAGTGTTTCATGTATCTGTAGTACTGTCAGAGGCTTGACTTAATAGCGTTTCATATATCTGTATTGTCAGAGGCTCGACCTAATAGTGTTTCATATATCTGTACTGTCAGTGGTTTGACTTAATAGTGTTTCATATATCTGTACTGTCAGAGGCTTGACTTAATAGTGTTTCATATATCTGTACTGTCAGAGGCTTGACTTAATAGTGTTTCATATATCTGTACTGTCAGAGTCTTGACTTAATAGTGTTTCATATATCTGTACTGTTAGAGGCTTGACTTAATAGTGTTTCATATATCTGTACTGTCAGATGCTTGACTTAATAGTGTTTCATATATCTGTACTGTCAGAGGCTTGACTTAAAAGTGTTTCATATATCATTAGCGCTGTTAGAGGCTTGACTTCATAGTGTTTCATATATCTGTACTGTCAGAGGCTCGACCTAAAAGTGTTTCATATATCTGTATTGTCAGAGGCTTGACCTAATAGTGTTGCATGTATCTGTACTGTCAGAGGCTTGACTTAATTGGAATGTACATTGTCCTCCAGTACACACACCTCCCAAGGTCATATTTTGCATTTTTATTCACAGTTATAATATTTGTATTGTTAAAGTAATTTTTGGGTTGGATAATTTGTATTGGTATTTTCTGTATTGTCAGAGGCTTGACCTAATAGTGTTTCATGTATCTGTACTGTAAGAGGCTTGACTTAATTGGAATATACATTGTCCTCCATTACACACACCTCCCAAGGTCATATTTTGCATTTTTATTCACAGTTATAATATTTGTATTGTTAAAGTAATTTTGGGGTTGGATAATTTGTATTGGTATTTTCTGTATTGTCAGAGGCTTGACCTAATAGTGTTTCATGTATCTGTACTGTCAGCGGCTTGACTTAATTGGAATATACATTGTCCTCCAGTACACACACCTCCCAAGGTCATATTTTGCATTTTTATTCACAGTTATAATATTTGTATTGTTCAAAAAGCTTGTTCTCATATGTGCACATATATCAATTCTTCCAAAATTGTACTTCACTGATTCAAAAAATAGATTTTCATTATATTCATTAGCTTTCTCTGCTTGCTTATTGTTAGACTTTGGGACCCCTGCTTGGTGTGCCGAAGGGGTTGTTTCTGTAATATCAAAAATAACTATCTCTAGTTTATTGGCATACATCACTAGCCAGTTGTCAAATCTTTGTGCTCCTATTACAAACTTCGGTATGGTTGACCAGGGAAAGCTAGATTTGCTTGTGATGAAGTAATCAAGGCCCCATAAACGGGTTGGTTTTGTTCCATTGATGATTTGTAAAATTTCTCGATCGTCCCCTTGTTGAAGTTCTCTAACAAATATTTGTGATTCATTATAGAATTCAATCTCACGTCTTAGTCCTAAAATAATGTATTCAGGTATTGTGTGCTTTTTAACATAAGTTGAAATAGCTTTAAAACTCCCTGTAAGGTTGTTCCAAGGGTACAATATGTCACCATTGGTGTACATGTATAATTCACTGTCGAAAGAAGACATTACATAGAGAAACATGTCCTTTAAGAAAGGTCTGCCAAGGTGGAAACTCTTATCTGGTAAAATGACAATATTCCATTGTTTCATGTCATCTCTGGTATATCCACATATTCTAGTTGTTTTGTTCAACTGGATTTTCTGGTCTGGTTTATCAAGAAAGATGACAAGATTGACATCTTCTGCAGGAAAATTCATGTAGTTGCACATTGTGTTATTCTGTAGTGTATATCTGTTGGGCTCTGATAATGAAAATGTTGTAAATATTGTCAAATACTTCTGTGCCTGTTTCGTCACTGATATTTGTACATTTTCGTGTTCTAACATTTCATACTGACTAAGTATTTGCATGGAGAAAACAACCATTGTCCCAAAAATCAGCACTCCGACTCCTATCAATTTTTTCAGCACCCTAGATTTTAGTATCAAAATTAAAAGAGAAGCTTTCTTACTGAATGAATCCATCCTAAATGCACTGTATTTTGTTATATTGTTTTATGTCGTGTCCTTTCATTTATGCCATGTTTTTTAGTGATGCATTGTGATAAATGTCATTGTCAACTTTACTGTTGCCATGGTTACTTTGATTGATGATTTACAATGTTAACACACATTTTTTATTTTGTGTCAAGATAATTAGTTTACAGTAAAACCTGTCACCTCTTTGTTTTCAGGACAGGCCAAAGAGAAAGAAGAAAAAGAAGTCATTGAAAGCAGCCATTAACAACAGCAATGGCAAAAATGACATTGGTGATAGAGACACCAAAACAAAAGAGACAATTAATGATGTTTCTGACATACATGAAGATATCAGTATAAAAACAGGATTGAACATTGTTGCTGACAATATCACAGATGCTAAAAACAGCATAAATAATGTCAATGATGTGCAGACAACACCCAGTCAGTTTAATAAACAGGGACAACCTGTAGCTAGAACAAGCCAAGAGAGTACAAACATATGGATTGAACATGATAGCGCAAGGACAATGAATACAGACCTATTTGCAGAAAATCATTGTGATCAACTGAACAATGGTGTGAAACATGATACTATGTCATCTCAGGATAAAATAAATAACAGCTGTGATAAGATGTGTGTCATAGAAAGTGCAATACTTAAATCAAAAGAGGAACTCCAACTGCCAGAGCTACAAGATCACCAATATGTTTCCCCTTGTTCTGAACATGAAAAAAACATCCATGACAATATAGACAGTGATAGCCGAAAAACAGAACGAAACATTAATGGTGACATCATCAAAACAGATGACATCACAAACTATGACATCAACAAAACTGTAATTCCAGTCATTCAAAATGCTTCCAACGCGCCAAAGAAACATGGCTCTCCTATACACGGCCAGGCTTCTGTTGTGGGAAATATCAATAATGCTTATACCTCTCAGGAAGAAAAAACTGGAGTAATAAATATTCCAGACCTCCAAGACAATATGAATTCCACTTGTCAGTTAGAAATCGCCAATGTTGAAAATGATGTAAAAACTCCAAAATACAATGGTAATTTGGCAAGAGAAAATAGAGATAAGGAGACCAACACAAAATCAAATGAAACAATTGCAGACAATACAGAAGAAGTCAGCACAGAGCAACAACCTTATTCTGATAAGGGAGACAAACAGGGGAAGGTTTCAATGAAACAACTTAAAAAGAATGCTGGGTCATGGAAAGAAGTTGTTGATGAAACTACAAGATTTGAGTGCATTTGTGGTAGGTACAGTTAAAGTATGGTGCATTTGTGATAGGTACAGTTAAAGTATAGAGCATTTGTGGTAGGTACAGTTAATGTATAGTGTATTTGTGGTAGGTACAGTTAATGTATAGTGCATTTGTGGTAGGTACAGATAAAGAATAGTGCATTTGTGGTAGGTACAGTTAAAGTATGGTGCATTTGTGGTAGGTACAGATAAAGTATTCTGCATTTGTGGTAGGTACAGTTAAAGAATTCTGCATTTGTGGTAGGTACAGTTAAAGTATGGTGCATTTGTGGTAGGTACAGTTAAAGTATGGTGCATTTGTAGTAGGTACAGTTAAAGTATGGTGCATTTGTAGTAGGTTCAGTTAAAGTAGAGTGCATTTGTGGTAGGTACAGTTAAAGTATTGTGCATTTGTGGTAGGTACAGTTAAAGTATAGAGCATTTGTGGTAGGTCCAGATAAAGTATTGTGCATTTGTGGTAGGTACAGTTAAAGTAGAGTGCATTTGTGGTAGGTACAGTTAAAGAATTCTGCATTTGTGGTAGGTACAGTTAAAGTATGGTGCATTTGTGGTAGGTACAGTTAAAGTATGGTGCATTTGTAGTAGGTACAGTTAAAGTAGAGTGCATTTGTGGTAGGTACAGTTAAAGAATTCTGCATTTGTGGTAGGTACAGTTAAAGTATGGTGCATTTGTGGTAGGTACAGTTAAAGTATGGTGCATTTGTAGTAGGTACAGTTAAAGTATGGTGCATTTGTAGTAGGTTCAGTTAAAGTAGAGTGCATTTGTGGTAGGTACAGTTAAAGAATTCTGCATTTGTGGTAGGTACAGTTAAAGTATGGTGCATTTGTGGTAGGTACAGTTAAAGTATGGTGCATTTGTAGTAGGTACAGTTAAAGTATGGTGCATTTGTAGTAGGTTCAGTTAAAGTAGAGTGCATTTGTGGTAGGTACAGTTAAAGAATTCTGCATTTGTGGTAGGTACAGTTAAAGTATGGTGCATTTGTGGTAGGTACAGTTAAAGTATGGTGCATTTGTAGTAGGTACAGTTAAAGTATGGTGCATTTGTAGTAGGTTCAGTTAAAGTAGAGTGCATTTGTGGTAGGTACAGTTAAAGTATTGTGCATTTGTGGTAGGTCCAGTTAAAGTATAATGCATTTGTGGTAGGTACAGTTAAAGTATAGAGCATTTGTGGTAGGTACAGTAAAAGTATTGTGCATTTGTGGTAGGTACAGTTAAAGTATGGTGCATTTGTGGTAGGTACAGTTATAGGATAGAGCATTTGTGGAAGGTACAGTTAATGTATAGTGCATTTGTGTTAGGTACAGTTAAAGTAGAGTGCATTTGTGGTAGATACAGTAAAGGGATAGTGCATTTGTGGTAGGTACAGTTAAGGAATAGTGTATTTGTGGTAGGTACAGTTAAAGGATAGTGCATGTGAGTAGGTACAGTTAAAGTATAGTGCATTTGTGGTAAGTACAGTTAAAGGATAGTGCATTTGTAGGTACAGTTAAAGTATAGTGCATTTGTGGTAGGAACACTTATAGGATAGTGCATTTGTGGTAGGTACAATTAAAGTATAATGCATGTGTGGAAGGTACAGTTAAAGTATAGTGCATTTGTGGTAGGTGCAGTTAAAGGATAGTGCATTTGTGGTAGGTACAGTTAAGTATAATGCATTTGTGGTAGGTACACTTAAAGTATAGTGCATTTGTGGTAGGTACAGATAAAGAATAGTGCATTTGAGAAGGTACAGTTTAAGTATAGTGCATTTTTAGGAGGTTCAGTTAAAGTATAGTGCATTTGTGGTATGTACTCAATATGGTGTTTACAATAATACTATACCTCCTCAATGTGGTTTTTACAATAATACTATTCCTCCTCAATGTGGTGTTTACAATAATACTATACCTCCTCAATGTGGTGTTTACAATAATACTATTCCTCCTCAATGTGGTGTTTACAATAATACTATACCTCCTCAATGTGGTGTTTACAATAATACTATACCTCCTCAATGTGGTGTTTACAATAATACTATTCCTCCTCAATGTGGTGTTTACAATAATACTATACCTCCTCAATGTGGTGTTTACAATAATACTATACCTCCTCATGATCAAATATAAGTGCTGGGGAATTGTCTGACGCTGTAGTAAAGAATAATTGAATTTTATATAATTTTAGGTGTGCAGGGAGAAGGGAAAGATGAGACACTTAGAGTTCAATGTGTTGAATGTGGCCTATGGCAACACCCAGAGTGCCTGAACTATGACCTCAAAGACCCACTTAGACAGCCATATAAATGTCCTCATTGTCATATTTTTGCTGTAAGTACAATATGTCGAATGTGGCATGTGGTAACACCCAGAGTGACTGAACTATGACCTAAAAGACCCACCAAGACAGCCATATAAATAAAAAGTACTGACATGATTAAGGCTCCTCTTTTGTGACTGGCCAGTTAGTGCTAGGTGTCTGTAACAAATAGTTCCTCTTGAATAAATCTATCTACTTTCTATATTCCTAAAAGACAGTATACTTGGTTTCATGGAATTCATATAAAATAGTTATCTTATTACATAATATTACTTAGAAGATAATTCATAATAAACGCCAGGATTGACCCAGTATTTGCTATACAGCAAACCTTTAGAATGGTTACCTAACTGATAACTCAGGCCATCAACAGGGTTTTCACTGAAAGGTTATTTAATGAATTATTTCAACACGTTTCATGGCTTAACATGACATTATGTGGTCAATATATTTCAGCTCCCAATGTCATCAAAAGCTACTCTGATCATATCTCCTAGCAGTATTTGCCACCAATGGGTAGAAGAGATTCTTAAACATGTGAAACAGCAGGGTATTAAAGTACATGTAAGTACAACTCTTATATGGTACAGGAGATTCCTCAACATGTGAAACAGCAGGGTATTAAAGTACATGTAAGTACAACTCTTATATGGTACAGGAGATTCTTCAATATGTGAAACAGCAGGGTATTAAAGTACATGTAAGTACAACTCTTATATAGTACAGGAGATTCTTCAACATGTGAAACAGCAGGGTATTAAAGTACATGTAAGTACAACTCTTATATGGTACAGGAGATTCTTCAACATATGAAACAGCAGGGTATTAAAGTACATGTAAGTACAACTCTTATATGGTACAGGAGATTCTTCAACATGTGAAACAGCAGGGTATTAAAGTACAACTCTTATATGGTACAGGAGATTCTTCAACATGTGAACCAGCAGGGTATTAAAGTACAAGTAAGTACAACTTTTATATGGTAGAGGAGATTCTTCATCATGTGAAACAACAGGGTATTAAAGTACATGTAAGTTCAACTCTTATATGGTACAGGAGATTCCTGAACATGTGAAACAGCAGGGTATTAAAGTACATGTAAGTACAACTCTTATATGGTACAGGAGATTCTTCAACATGTGAAACAGCAGGGTATTAAAGTACATGTATGTTCAACCCTATATGGTACAGGAGATTCTTCAACATGTGAAACACCAGGGTATTAAAGTACATGTAAGTTCAACTCTTATATGGTACAGGAGATTCTTCAATATGTGAAACAGCAGGGTATTAAAGTACATGTAAGTACAACTCTTATATAGTATAGGAGATTCTTCAACATGTGAAACAGCAGGGTATTAAAGTACATGTAAGTACATCTCTTATATGGTACAGGAGATTCTTCAATATGTGAAACAGCAGGGTATTAAAGTACATGTAAGTACAACTCTTATATAGTACAGGAGATTCTTCAACATGTGAAACAGCAGGGTATTAAAGTACATGTAAGTTCAACTCTTATATGGTACAGGAGATTCCTCAACATGTGAAACAGCAGGGTATTAAAGTACATGTAAGTACATCTCTTATATGGTACAGGAGATTCTTCAACATGTGAAACAGCAGGGTATTAAAGTACATGTAAATTCAACTTTTCTATGTAGAAACAGCAGTGTATCAAAGTTCATGTAAGTACAACTCTTATATGCAGTGTTCAGCATTATATCTTAAAGCTTAATCTTTTAATGAGTTCGAATTCATAAAAACATTAAAATATGAATATTTTATTTAGTCTATCCTCTATTTGAGTATGTTACTAAATTACACTTTCTGCCTACATTTTAGCTGACATCGTTATGCTTTTATTATGTCCCCATCACATAGTGTGGGGCCATATTGTCGGCCTAGGCGCGTCCGTCCGTCTGTCCGTCCGTCTGTACGTCCGTCCGTCCGTCTGTCCGTCCGTACGTCCGGGAGTTTTCTCCAAAACCGCTACAGATATCACCTTCAAATTTTCAGGGATAACTTATGAGTGCATAGAGATGTGGATGAAAAAAAAATTAACTCGAAACCTACTTCCTGTCGGCCATTTTGAAGTCAAATGCTAAAATCCTTGTCTGCAAACTTTAAGAAAAACGGCTTCACAGTTGCTTTTAAAACTTTAATATCTTGTTCAGCTCACTTCATTCTAGATCTGATTAGGTTTTGAACCTGTTAGCTCAGTCATGGCAGCCATTTTGAATGTCTGAAGAAAAGTTAGCGCGCGATAATACTTTGTATCATATTGAATGGTGTTTTTGAGTTTTCATACTTTAACTATTTAGTAGCTTTATAAATAATTTCAGATGTACTTTCTAGTAAAAGCCTATGTTATTGTTAACAGTAGTTATATGTGATAATTTTGTAAAAGGAAATCAGCAAAAACTCATAATCACTTTTTTATTGTCGGCCATTTTGGATTTTTCCGTCCTAAAATCTTGTCTGTGAAGTCTTGTCTGCGCGTTTTCAGATGAACCGTTTTTTAGATCAATTTTAATTTTTCAGGGATGACTCTTACTATAACAATCTAGATCTGATTAGTTTTTTGGCATTCTGGATAAATGCCAAGGCAGCCATTTTGGATTTTCCGTCCTAAAATCTTGTCTGTAAAGTCTTGTCTACACGTTTTCAGATGAACCGTTTTTTAGATCAATTTTAATTTTTCAGGGGTGATTCTTAGTATGAAAATCTAGAACTGATTAGTTTTTTGGCATTCTGGGTAAATGTCAAGGCAGCCATTTTGGATTTTCCGTCCTAAAATCTTGTCTGTAAATTCTTGTCTACGCATTTCCAGGTGAACCATTCTGTAGATCAATTTCAAATTTTCAGGGATGATTCTTAGTATGAAAATCTAGATCTGATTAGTTTTTTGGCAGTATGGATAAATGTAAAGGCAGCCATTTTGGATTTTCCGTCTTAAAATCTAGCCTGTAAAGTCTTGTCTACGCATTTTAAGGTGAACGGTTTGGTAGATCAATTTCAAATTTTCAGGGATGATTCTTAGTATGAAAATCTACATTTTTTTTTGGCATTCTGCGTTAATGTCAAGGCAGCAATTTTGGATCTTCTGTCCTAAAATCTTGTTTGTCTTGTCTATGCGTTTTCAGGTGAACCGTTTGGAAGATCAATTTCATATTTTCAGGGATGAATTTTAGTATGAAAATTTACAAACTGACTAGTTTTTTGACATTTTGGGTAAATGTCAAGGGAGCCATTTTGGATTTTCCATCCTAAAATCTTGTCTGTAAAGTCTTGTTTACATGTTTTCTGGTTATAATAACTGTGTGACGGATCAATTTCAAATTTTCATGGCATTCTGGGTAAATTTTAAGGTGGCCATTTTGGATTTTCCATCCTCAAATTAAGTCTTGTCTACTCATTTTCAGGATAACCATTAGACGGGATCACCCATTGGTGGGGACATTTTGTACACATTTGTGTTCTTGTTAACATCAGAGTTTGTGTAGTAGTTAGAGAGTATTGCATTATATATGTGGTAATATGTATATGTATATATGTATATGTGGGGTGTGTGACAAGTTGAAGGGCCAAGGATAACAGAACTGTCAAAGGTCATCACTTAGTGATAAGTCTATATGTCAGAATGAAAGGTTATTAGGTTAAACACATCAACTTTTTCAATTGACAAATACACCTACAGTAAATTTACATTGCCAGAAGGCAGTTTCCTCTTGCTCAACTTATTTGACATAAGTACTCTTTAAAAGTGTTTTAAATGAACACATTAATTTTAGAATAAGTTCAGTACTTTTATTTGTAGCTTGTGGCTTGTAACTCCGGGTAAACTTCAAGAAGATATATAAATACATGAAAATAAATGTAAATGAACCGATTTAAAAAGTGGCAATTTTTGGCTCTCCCTCTACATGTAACATATTCTGACTCCCTTATAAACCAAATGACTCATTTACCAATCTCAGACCATTTTGATTGAATATGATATCTTTTGACTGAAATCTCATTGGTCATTTTTATCGCACCCTAAGGTGCTATATTGTAATCAGTTTGCCGGGCGGTTGGGCGGGCGGTTGGGTGGGCGTTCGGGCCTCCCGAATAATCTTGTCTACAGGTTTGCAGCCAAACCATTTGAGGGATTCATTTGAAATTCTCAGGGATGTTTCTACCTATGAAATTTTAGAACTGATTAGTTTTTCGGCATTCTGGGTAAATGTTAAGGTGGCCATTTTGGATTTTCCGTCCTAAAATCTTGTCTGTCAAGGCTTGTCTACAGGTTTCCAGCCAAACCGTTTGAGGGATTCATTTGAAATTCTCAGGGTATTTCTACCTATGAAAGTTTAGAACTGATTAGTTTTTCGGCATTCTGGGTAAATGTTAAGGTGGCCATTTTGGATTTTCCGTCCTAAAATCTTGTCTGTCAAGGCTTGTCTATAGGTTTCCAGCCAAACCGTTTGAGGGATTCATTTGAAATTCTCAGGGATGTTTCTACCTATGAAAGTTTAGAACTGATTAGTTTTTCGGCATTCTGGGTAAATGTTAAGACGGCCATTTTGGATTTTCCGTCCTGAAATCGTGTCTGTGAAGGCTTGTTTTTAAAAAATAAAAAAGAATTTCCCATTGAGAACAATGTTAAATTAAAAAAAAATTTTTAGAAATAACTAAACGGTCAATATTTCCAATATTCACATTTTTTGTAATACATCAGTATATCTTTTAGCAGGATTCAGGAAAATCTGAAATGTAGAAAAAAAGCTGATACACTGTGAAGTTATACCTTAAAACGTGTCTCTTGAGGGTTGTTTACAGGTTTCATGGATTCATCCTAAAATTTTAGAGATGTTTCTATGGAAAGTTTAGAACTGATTAGTTTTTAGGCAGTCTGGGTAAATGTTAAGGTGGCCATTTTGAATTTTCCATCCCGTAAAGTGTATTCTGTTCAAGGGTGCGATTCTGTTCACCCTGTGGCTTATTTTAATTTCTTGTGATATTGATTCTTGGATATCAAGACCATTTTGATTGAATATGATATCTCTTGACTGAAATCTCATTGGTCATTTTTTTTAATTTCTTGTGATATTGATTCTTGGATATCAAGATTTTTTATAATCTCACATTTTTTAATTCAGATAAGAAAACAATTTAGTTACATTGTACATCATATTCAAAAATGATGAGAAATTAAGCTGCAAAATTAAGATGCTAGGTCAATCTAGGTAAATGCACCACCAACATGATGATATGATGTTAATCATGTATCTTGTAACCAATTCTTACACGCTTGTAGATTTACAATGGAGTAAAAACAAAGTATATCCAGCCTTGGACGCTGGCCAATCAGGACATAGTGGTGTGTACCTATGAGACACTGAGGACTGAGCTGAACTATGTTGATCTTCCCCACAGTAATTCTGAGAGTGGCCGTAGACTGAGGAATCCCAAACGTTTCATGGCTATACCAAGTCCCATAATTGCTGTTGAATGGTGGAGAGTAAGTCATGCTTATTTATTGTATTTCTCAATAGTGGAGTCAGATAAGTGTTCAATTGCACATGCTATATATATAGCATCATTTTTTGACATAAGTATTATTAATACATATATTTTTGATATCTAACGAAGTGGTGTTGAAAAGTGGCCCCATTTGATTATAACAGGCCTTGAAAATTTTGGACATTTACATTGAGCCCCATGTTAATTTATCAATCTTCAAAAGATCCCCTGCAGTACAGTTTTAGAGTAATAAAGCCCATATTCCCAGGATGTTACAGTAGCATGATTATATTCAAAATAAGAAGGGTTAAATTTTTTCTTTTACCTAGTTCCAAAGATATTTGAGTTTGAATTTTGGAAATTCCCCATTGGCTGCCATTATAAATGGCTATCAATATGGCTTTACTTAAGTGTCCTTTTCTCAAAAATTCTATGGTGAAATTTTCTAATATTGCAGATTTCTATAGTTAATACATTGATTTTAAAGAAATCAAACAGGTACATTTCTGAAAGTTTCTTGTTTTTTATATATTTAGCTGTTAAAAACTATAAAAACCTATATTGAGCCCCATGTTAATTTACCAATCTTCAAAAGACCTCATACAGGACAGTTTTAGAGTAATTATGCCAATTCTCCTATTACGTTACAATAACATGATTATCTTCAAAATAAGAAAGGTTAATTTTTTTCTTTTACCTAGTTCCAAAGATATTTGCGTTTGAATTTTGAAAATTCTCCATTGGCTGCCATTATAAACGGCTATCAATATGGCTTTACTAAATTGTCCTTTTCTCAAAAAGTCCACGGTGAAATTTTCTAATATTGCAGATTCGTATAGATAATATATTGATTTTAAAAAAATCAAACAGGTACATTTCTGAAAATTTCTTATTTTTGATATATTTAGCCGTTAAAAACTATAAAAACCTATATTGAGCCCCATGATAATTTATCAAACTTCAAAAGGCCCCTTGCAGAACAGTTCAAAAGTGATAAGGGCCATACTCCTAGGATATAACAATAACACTATTATTTTCAAAATAAGAAGGGATGACTTCTCTTTACCTAGTTCCAAAGATATTTGCTTTTGAATTTTCGAAATTCCCCATTGGCTGCCATTATAAACCGCTATCAATTAATAGCTTTACTAAAGTGTCTATTTCTCGAAAAAAGTCCACTATGGAATTTTCTAGTATCGTATATTTCTATAGTAGAGTTAATATATATATATATATATTGATTTAAAAAAATCAAACGGGCACATTTCTGATAAATTCTTATTTTTAATATATTCAGCTGTTAAAAACTCCCCCTGTAGAGCAGTTCAAAAGTGATGGAGCCATATTCCAAGGATGTTGCAATAACATGACTTTATCCAAAACAAGAAGGGATAAAGTTTTTCTTTTACTTAGTTCCAAAGATATTGGCGTTGAAATATTGGAAATCCCCATTGGGTGCCATTATAAACTGCTATCATTATGGCTTTACTGAAGTCTCCTTTTCGCAAAACGTCCACTGTGGAATTTTTAATATTGTACATTTCTATAGTTAATATATTAATTTTAAAAAAATCAAACAGGCACATTTCTGAAAAATTCTTATTTTAAATATATCTAGCCATTAAAAACTATAAAAAACATATTGGGCCCCATGTTAGATTATCAATCTTCAAAAGACCCCCTACAGAGCAGTTCAAAAGCGATGAAGCCCTTATACCTAGGATGTTACAATAACACGATTATTTTCAAAATATGAAGGATTAAATTTTTTCTTTGACCTATTTCCAAAGATATTGACGTTTGCATTTTGGAAAAAACCCATTAGCTGGCATTATAAACGGTATCAATTTGGCTTAAGTAAAGCGTCTTTTCTCAAAAAGTCCACTATGGAATTTTCTAATATTGTACATTTCTATTGATTTTTTTTAAAAAGCAGGCAGATTTCTGAATTGTTTTACTTTTATTTATATAATTAGCCGTTATTAACTATAAAACATATATTATGCGCCATGTTAAATCAATCTTTAACTTAATGACTAAATATTTTAAAAATAAGAAATTTTCAGAAAAGTAGCTGTTTGATTTTAAAAAAAAGTATATTAACTATAGATATCTACAATATTAGAAAATTCCATAGTGGATTATTTGAGAAGACACTCTATTATAGTAAAACCATATTGATAGTGGTTTATAATGGCAACCAATAGGGATTTTCAAAAATTCAATCGCAAATATCTTTGAAACTAGAGTCCATTTCACTGTTTAATTTTGTCAGTAAAAGCTAAAAAATAAGAAATCAAAATATCATTTTACAATAATATAAGGAAAAATGTATTCCTATTGTATATGAATGACATGTGTATATCTTGGATTGCTTCTAGTTTGGCTCATAAAGTGTGTGGCCTCTTATATTTGGATGCTTCTCTGCCATGTTATTTTCAATAAGATTAACATGGCCGGAATTCTTCAAATTACAAGAGGGCTCAGGCTTATTGCACAAAAAACTAAAAAATCTGAAATATACAAATGTCATTCATGTACATTATGAATATACTTTTCCATATATTATTGAACAATGGTCTCCCAATTTCTTATTTTTGGGGTTCTACTGACGCAATAAAACAGTGAAATGGACTCTAGGTAAAAGAAAAAATTTAGCCCTTCCTATTTTGAAGATAATCATGTTATTGTAACATAGTAGGAGATTGGGCATTATTAGTCTAAAACTGTTCTGCACAGGGTCTTTGAAAGATTGATAAATTAACATGGGCATCAATATAGGTTCTTTATAGTTTTAACGGCTAATTATATAAAAATAAAAATAAATTAGAAATGTACCTGTTTGATTTTTATTAAATCAATACATTAACTATAGAAATCCACAATATTAGAAAATTCCACCGTGGACTTTTTGAGAATAGGACACTTTAGTAAGGCTATATTGATAGCCTTTTATAATGGCAGCCAATGGGGAATTTCCAAAATTCAAATGCAAATATCTTTGGAACTAGGTAAAAGAAAAGAATTCGCCCTTCTTATTTTGAAGATAATCATGTTATTGTAACATAGTAGGAGAATGGGCATTATTAGTCAAAAACTGTTCTGCACAGGGTCTTTGAAAGATTGATAAATTAACATGGGGCTCAATACAGGTCTTTTATAGTTTTTAACGGCTAAATATATCAAAAATAAGAAATTTTCAGAAATGTACCTGTTTGATTTTTTTAAAATCAATATATTAACTATAGGAATCTGTAACATTAGAATATTTCACCGTGGAATTTTTGAGAAAAGGACACTTTAGTAAAGCCATATTGATAGCCATTTATAATGGCAGCCAATGGGGAATTTCTAAAACTCAAACGCAAATATCTTTGGAACTAGGTAAAAGAAAAAATTTAACCCTTCTTATTTTGAAGATAATCATGTTATTGTAACACCCTGGGAATATGGGCTTTATTACTCTAAAACTGTACTGCAGGGGATCTTTTGAAGATTGATAAATTAACATGGGGCTCAATGTAAATGCCGAAAATTTTCAAGGCCTGTTATTATCGAATGGGGCCACTTTTCAACACCACTTCGTTAGATATCAAAAATATATGTAGTAGTGATTCTTATGTCAAGAAATAGTGCTATATATATAGCATGTGCAATTCAAGGGTTTTATTGCATTAATTGACTCCACTACAAATGTTTCATGGCTATACCCAGTCCCATGATTGCTGTAGAATGGTGGAAGGTGAGTTATGGTTATTTATTGTATTTTTCAAATGTTTCATGACTATACCCAGTCCCATAATTGCTGTGGAATGGTGGAGAGTGAGTTATGCATTTTCATTGTAGTTCTCAAATGTTTCATGGCTATACCCAGTCCCATAATTGCTGTGGAATGGTGGAAAGTGAGTCATGCTTTTTCATTGTATTTCTCAAATGTTTCATGGCTATACCCAGTCCCATGATTGCTGCTGAATGGTGGAGAGTAAGTCATGCTTATTTATTGTATTTCTCAAATGTTTCATGACTATACTGAGTCCCATAATTGCTGTGGAATGGTGGAAAGTGAGTCATGCTTATTTATTGTATTTCTCAAATGTTTCATGGCTATACCAAGTCCCATAATTGCTGTGGAATGGTGGAAAGTGAGTTATGCTTATTTATTGTATTTCTCAAATGTTTCATGGCTATACCAAGTCCCATAATTGCTGTGGAATGGTGGAGAGTGAGTCATGCTTTTTCATTGTATTTCTCAAATGTTTCATGGCTATACCAAGTCCCATAATTGCTGTGGAATGGTGGAGAGTGAGTCATGCTTTTTCATTGTATTTTTCAAATGTTTCATGGCTATACCAAGTCCCATAATTGCTGTGGAATGGTGGAGAGTGAGTTATGCATTTTCATTGTATTTCTCAAATGTTTCATGGCTATACCCAGTCCCATAATTGCTGTGGAATGGTGGAGAGTGAGTCATGCTTATTTATTGTATTTCTCAAATGTTTCATGGCTATACCCACTTCCATAATTGCTGTGGAATTGTGGAAAGTGAGTCATGCTTTTTCATTGTATTTCTCAAATGTTTCATGGCTATACCCAGTCCCATAATTGCTGTGGAATGGTGGAAAGTGAGTAATACATTTTCATTGTATTTCTCAAATGTTTCATGACTATACCCAGTCCCATAATTGCTGTGGAATGGTGGAGAGTAAGTCATGCTTATTTATTGTATTTCTCAAATGTTTCATGGCTATACCAAGTCCCATAATTGCTGTGGAATGGTGGAGAGTAAGTTATGCTTATTTATTGTATTTCTCAAATGTTTCATGGCTATACCCAGTCCCATAATTGCTGTGGAATGGTGGAGAGTGAGTCATGCTTATTTATTGTATTTCTCAAATGTTTCATGGCTATACCCAGTCCCATAATTGCTGTGGAATGGTGGAAAGTGAGTTATACATTTTCATTGTATTTCTCAAATGTTTCATGACTATACCGAGTCCC